TTTATTTAAAAAAAAAAAAAAAAAAAAAAAAAACTGATACGTAAGCTGTGTGTAAACTGTTACCGTAAGTTGTTGTATAAATTGCTTGTAAACTGCTATCATAAGTTGTTGTGTAAGCTGTTTGTAAGCTGCTATTGCAAGTTACTTGTAACTTGCTTGTAAGCTACTACTGTATCATATATAGATAATCTTTTACCGGGTTAATATTTATTCATAACAGAGTACCAAAATGATAAAAATTTTCAGGAGGCTTATTTCCAATAAAGTACTATATAGATAAACATATTTACAGCGAAGTCTCATATGGATAAACTTCTTCAAAAAGCTTATTTACAACGGAGTACTAAATGAACATCCATAATATAATATATTTATAATACTCCCCCTTGGATATTCATTAAAAGATAATGTGCCTCATTAAAATCTTACTAGGAAAACTCCGTGGGAAAAAAATTATAGTGAAGGAAAAAGAGTACACATATTTAATAATACGCATTGCTAACTGCCTCATTAAAAACCTTAAAAGGAAAACCTTGTGGGAAAAAAGCTTAGTAAGGAAAAAAAAAGTACATCGCATATTTTACTCCCCCTCATGAAAACCTTGTTTCAAATATTTGAGTCTCCGCATTCCAATCTTGTATACTATCTTCTCAAAAGTTGAAGTTGGAAAAGATTTAGTGAATAAATCTGCCGGATTGTTACTTGAACGGATTTGTTGCACATCAATGTCACAATTTTTCTGAAGATCATGTGTGTAGAATAATTTTTGTGAAATGTGCTTCGTTCTATCTCTTTTTTATAAATCCTCCCTTCAATTGGGCTATGCATGCAGCATTGTCTTCGTATAAAATTGTGCATCTTTTATCACATTCCAAACCACATTTTTCTTGAATAAAATGAATCACTGATCTCAACCATACGCATTCCCTACTTGCTTCATGATGCAGCATTGTCTTCGTATAAAATTATGGATCTTTTATCACATTCTAAATCACATTTTTCTTGAATAATTTGAATCACTGATCTCAACCATACGCATACCCTACTTGTTTCATGAATAGCTATTATCTCAGCATGATTTGAAGAAGTAGCAACAATAGATTGCTTTGTGGAGCGCCATGATATGACAGTACCTCCACATGTAAACACGTACCCGGTTTGAGATCGAGCTTTATGGGGATCAGATACATAACCTGCATCCGCATAACCAATAAGATTTGCACTACCTTTGTTAGCATAAAACAAACCCATATCAAGAGTTCCCTTTAAATATCGCAAAATATGCTGAATCTCATTCCAACGTCTATTTGTAGGAGAAGAGCTATATCTTGCTAGTAAATTAATAGAAAATGATATGTCAGACCTTGTAGCATTAGCAAGATACATAAGTGCACCAATTGCACTGAGATATGGTGTTTCAGGACCAAGGAGTTCATCTCACTCTTCTAGAGGTCGGAACGGGTCCTTATTCGCTTCAAGTGATCGAACAACCATTGGTGTACTCAATGGATGCGCTTTGTCCATGTAAAAGCGTTTTAAGACCCTTTCTGTATAGGCAGTGTTACACCCCGAACCTAGGGGCGAGACCGGCACCCAGTGCCTCACCTATTCTTGCGTACCAACTTGCGACTAAGGGAATCTGAACATATAATGTCATACTTTGGCCATGGGCCACATTGCAAGACAATTTGCGAAGCAAAATATAAAACTAAATGGAAACCAATGCTGACTAAACATCAATATAAAGCTGGGCCGGCAAGGCCGTCACAACTACTACAGCTGACAAACCAACAAAATATACATACAAGGCCTACAAGCCCAGCATACTGCACTAACTGACAGGTTAAGTCTACAAGCCTCTACTGATGGATGTATCATGATCGGAACAGGGCCACGACCTACCCATAATCTATATACATATATACACAAGATGTACACAAATCTTCTAGACCCGACAACTACGAAGGACGTGAAGCTTACCGATAAAGCTGAACTCGGGCAACACCTACTGAGGAGGTCTACCCGCATGTCTATCAGAACCTGCACGCATGAAATGTAGCATCCCCAGAAAAAGGGATGTCAGTACGAAATAATGTACCGAGTATGCAAGGCAATAAAATAACTGAAAGCTGAAACTGAACTGATAATATAATAACTGAAAGTAACTGGGAGTCAAAGATGATATGGAGATATACTTACCTGTTGATACTGACTCAACTCTCTCAATATAGTAAGTAAAATAAGTGTCCGGTCCTATAAGGCTCAGAACGTGTAACTGCTTCGCCGTAGTAGGCTCGCTCATAGGCGCTCGGCCATACTAAGCTATGTATCTCGGCCATTCTGGGCTCGCTCATAGGCGCTCGGTCACAGTAGGCTCGGTATATAACTTACCATCTGATCAGAGGTTGTCTAATAGGGGCCTGCCCACTGATTATAGCTCGATGGTGAGGAAAATACTGTAATAATGTATATATATAGACCTTCTGCTCTCTTGATTGGAAGAAGATAATACTCAATTGAATATGAAGTCCCGATAAGGGAAAATACTGTAACTTATGAGACTAGGATAATATATATAAATTCGAGAGTATGAACTTCTCTTTATGCCTCGTTATCAAACGCATGTAGTTACGAGATCATTCTAAAATAAAAGAAGGGCTTAACCTTAACATACCTGGAGTACGGAAAAATCCGTATGATATTCTTGAGAAGGATTACACCGTACTCCCTTAGAATCACAAAATCTCGTTGCTATTATAATATAGAGTCTCATATGAATTTCCAAATTCTCTCACCTTCGTTCTTGGCTTTGCCTTTCTGTATAACTCCCTTACTAAATGAATTTTGATATTAATTCAAGATAAGTGTAGGGATGACTAATATAACTTCCCTCTCTAGTCTCACTTATTCATAGTTCTATGAGAAGTATGCCACTAAATTTGTAATGAATTTATGAATCCTTCTTCTTTGGATTGTCGAGACATTTTACATAAGAAAATGAATGAAAATTATCAAGAAGATGATGAGAAATAAAGGCAAATAAATGACAAAGTCCAACTATGGAGATCTCTGAGTTTAGGATATTCTGTTTGCAAGGAATGGCTAAGGACATTATCCATGTGTCCTCCTAATTTAATTGCCTAAGTCAAGAGTCACTATTAA